GGCCTGTGGGAAAAACTGATCCTTATCATTTTGACTTTACACAGAAATATAAGCAACAGAAAGGATCCACTATGTTTCCACTGTACAATGAAGTGTTAACGTCTGAGGAAGCCTCACTGATTACACTTGTGCTGAGTCTATTAGAAACCTGTGCTCTGGCACATTAGTGATCATCAGTAAGACTCTAAATCCTGACTGAAAGTCTTGGTGTGATCCTTTCTACATAAAAGCTGCAGTGTGAGAACAACGAGCTGTTAACGATGTCGTACCGTATCCGGTTGCCACCAGGCTCTTGCCGTAAACAGTTGACCATTCCCACAATCCCACACTCTGCCTGAGAAGCAGTCAGCCACACTGGATGGTCTGAGGACTCTGACATCACTTCCTGCTGCAGAGCAGAGTCCCCACAGTTAGACTTTTAAACAGCTCAGATCTCTCTCATATATACTTTATGATAACACAGAGAAAACAGCCAATCAGACGAGCCCGATGAGCGAGCTGTGAGTGTTTGGGGACAACGACAGACAGAGAGACGAAAGTGGGACTGACCTTGAGCGTTTCCACCCACTGATAGTCTTTGCTGTCCACAGGCAGGAAAACCGGCTGTTTACTCACAGACTGACGGCGACACAGAAAGAGGGCGGAGCCGTAGAAAGACTTCCTGACAGCCACCAGGTTAAGAGAAGCCTCTGAGAGCACTTCCTCCCACTCAGCCTTCCAACAAGATCAGAATAATCAAAACTCAGCTGACAGCACGTCACAGCAGGGTGGAAAAATGTTCTGTTTAAACACACCTGTGTGAGGAGTCCCTGCTGGCTGCTGCTCTGAGCAGTGCTGGACAGGAAGGCCACAGCCTCCCCCACAGTCTCCCCCTTCAGCAGCGTGTGGAGGAGAACAAACCCACTTTCTTTGGCTCCAGATGCCAGATTTGCTACCAGCAGCCTGGGCTCTGTCTTCACTGGACCCCATGCATGGTTACACAGCACCAGGTCCGCCCCCACAGCAACGTCTCCAGCAGCTGGGCTGGTCAGAGGATCCCACTGAGCCGCAGCGACACCGAGCTCCTCCAGGGGAGCCTGGTGGGGGGCCAGAAGCTCCAGACTGGCCGCAGTCGCAGTGTAGTCCACACGGAGCATGGGCTGGATGTTGAGCAGGGGCACGGCGCGACAGAAGAGCTGGCCGTCATCTGAGAGAGCCTGCAGGAGTCAGAGGCGTGAAAATGATGAGTGTGTGGAAATAATCCAGCTAAATCCAGCTGTTTGAGAGTCTTACCTCCAACACTTTGATCCTGCCAGGTGTGCTGTTTTCCACCGTGATGTCGAGGCAATGTCTCAGGGCGTCGTCGACCAGCAGACCCTAGAGCAGGTCGTCTTTAAGCAGGCACAGCCGCTCCTTCTGCACCACCTGCTCCAGCTCAGAGTGGAGGTTCCCATTGAACTCGAGGCCACAGAGCAGGGTTAGCAGCCGCAGCAGGCTGGGCTCAGAAGGCTCACCGCTGGGAGGAGGTGCATCAGACCCCCCCTGTAACCCCGGGATGGAGAGCTTGACACCATGAGGGGCCATCTTCTGCTGCAGTGTGTGGATCAAAACTGGACACGGAGGACAGGAGAGAAGACGGACTTTAGCACAATGTTTGGTTTGATGTTCGTCATCTCCTCACAAGGAGATCAAAACAAGTCTAACAGGTAACAGCTCTTAAATACATACAGGGAGAAAGATGCGAACAACCAGACAATCCCATCATGTCCGTCTCCTCACACAGTTTACATCAGATCACACGTGCAAACATTATTTTGATCCAGTTATCACTCATATGTTTACTGCATGTGAGTGATGGAGAGATTGTCTGTACCTTTGCAAAGCCTCAGCTGCTCTGCCAGCTTCCCATTGGCTGTAAGGCAGTCCGTCTCCACATCAGGAACAAACAGGAACTCCTCCAGTGTGGGCGGGCTCTGCAGCTGCTGCCGGCGAGGGGCTACTGTGGCGTGCAGGCCACAGATCTGGACTCCACCAGCAGTGATGTTGTCAAGGTAACGGCTTACGTGGACATCAACCGCTGCAGGAATCAAACAGAGTCAAACATCGAGCTGAAGGGGACCAAAGAGAGCGAACAGCAGCTGGTGTTTTACACATAAAACAGTCACATCATGTTGACATGACAGCCACAAACCGCTAAGTAACGATCAGGAGGATCACTGCTGCTGATCTGAAGTGAGGGAGGCAAACACACCTTGCTTTCCTTCAGCGTGCTCGCTGACTTTTTCCAGGTGTGCAGCAGGATGGACGCACACGGAGCGGATTCTGGTCGGCAAACGCAAACCTCCACCCGGCAGCCCCAAGACGATCATCTGCAACATGGTGTCCAGAAACGTCACCCAGTTTCCTGTCCATTCCAGCTTCCCACGGTCTCCTAGAAACAGCCAATCATATTATTAGAAAAACAGTCCTACCAACATTTATCTGAGTGTAACTAGAATCATGTCCTTTTATGTCCCAGCAGGACAATAAGCCACAGCTCCAGCGTACCTGCTGTGTTTGACTCCAAGATGCCCTGAAAGGTTTTTCCATAGTCGTAGCCTCGCAGTCTGAGCTCCTTGTAGATCTCGTGTGCGTTAAGCTTCATCGAGGCGTCTCTCCTGTCGGCAGCTTCCCGGCTGATCTCACCGTTGAATGAATCGAGTGCCGAATCCTCCAGGATGCTCACCTTACCTGAAAACCAGCGATTCTGAATATTCACGAGTTCATACTGAAAGTCAAAAGTCTGCAGACGAGTTTTACTCTGTCACTGGAACAACTAACAGACCTCTGAGGTTTTCTTGCTCTGGTCACAGAGCTTCACCTCAGCCTGATGGATGCAGCTCGGTGTCATGTGACCTGAGCTACAGCCGGCCTGTGCTGAACCAATCAGCAGCCGAGCGACACGGGAAACCCGTTTAAACAGCACTGCACTAAATAATAAACAATATGTTTGTGGATATAATGTTGTGTGATTTTCAGCGACAAATGTAAATGATGTGTAAACTTTGGGATCTTCATCAGCAGCTCAGCCTGTGTGCTGATGCAAAGACGTACCGCTGACAGTCAGGCTCCCGTTCTCCGAAACCTCGAACCTGCTGGTGGCGGGCATGAGACGCACCTCCAACTGGACCGCACCTGTGACAAACAGTCAACAGCTTCATCCACTGTAACAATAACAATAACAATAATAATGCACTTATCAAAATCAGAGTTTCACAATAAAAGTCACAAAAACCAATTAAATGTAAAAGATGTTGCTGTTGATTATTTTAGTAATGAAGTCGTCTGTCAGTGACTCCATCGAGTCTGAAACAAAATACTTTTGTCTTATTAATGAAGAAAAATAATTATTCAGAAGAAAATCAGACTGAGCTGCTGGTGCGAGCAGCGTCTAACCCTCATGTGACACAGTGAGACAACATCTGTAAAATGATCTCAAAGGTCAAATTCAACTAGAATAACATCGATATGCAACCGAAACAAAGATGTATGTCCGTCTCCTTGAAGGTTTCTGAATTTAATACGGTGGAAGGAAGGAAGATTTTCAAACATTAATGCCAATATTTGATATTATTTCACTTTCAATCTGAAAAATGTTACAAAAGGCTCGTTTGACGTGTGTTAACACGTCGGTGCACCGCAGAGTGCCGGCGTGTTAAACGAAGCATGGCAGCCAATAACGAGTGTCGAGGATTTTCATCATCCAATCACGCAGTGAGTTCAGGGATTTAAACGTGTGAAATCGTCAGTTTGGCGTAACTAAGACGCTCGGCGGGTCTTACAGAGCTGTAACAATCTCACCGCCTCCACATCTCTTACTGGTTAAAGTGGGACTGACAGGATAGGCACTGGGCCGATCACATGACCTCACCTGCTCGACGAGGTTATGTGATCATGGTTCAAGCCGTTAACAAGCCACGCCTCCCATACTTACTGGCGTTTGACAGGATGGTGGCACTGTGGATAGTCACATCCTCAAAGGTTACGGGCGTCGTTTCCATGACAACCCCTAGACTCCTCACCAAGGTGCGCCAGGCCAGCACCAGGTAACCAGTCGCCGGGTAGAGGACACGCCCATCGATGCTGTGTCCAATGAGATAGTGGTCTGCAGACTCTGGGCTGACGTCTGTTACATCAATGACACGACGTTAAACCAAATCAGAAAAACGTTTTCACTGCGATGGAAACACTGCGAGCGCACTTCTTACCAATGTTATACACCGCCGCAGAACCAGAGCCTCCCGAGCCCGACAGGAAGTGTTCCGCTTTAGGGATATCCCACGTCTGGGTGTGGTCCCACTGCACCAAGGGCGAGATCATTGGAGTACCAACTGGCACAGGGTAGGTCACAGCGGGGCACAGGGCGTTGGCGTCCACGTTGATGCTAAAGGCAGAGAGTGGTGTGAGTAAGCAGCTGTCACAGTCAAACAGCCAATGAGGGAGGCTCTCCTCACCCGTTCATGAAGATCCTCCCGACGTTCGAGAGGAAAAACTCGAGGTTGTTGGTGTGACCTCTCTTCATCAGGGGGACGACTGAACACGTGGGCTTCAGGCTGCGCTTCAGGATGGCCTGTGTGAAGAAGTCAACACTTCAGTCACAGCAGCGAGTGAAACGCTTTACAGCCCTGGTTTCCAACGGTAACACCACCTATTCAGGCTAGTGTCCCTGTAAAGTACATCACCCAGTAACATCTGGAAAGTGTGTGTGGAAAAAAAGCTTTGATAAATCAGTGTTTCTGAGCTTCAGACAGCAACAGCTGCTGAACGCTGTGTGTTGAGGCTGACACACACAGACACACACAGGAACACACAGGAAGCAGCCCCACATGTGTGGACAGCACTGGTAGCAAACCTGCAGCAGAGCATGCGGAGCTATTTCCAGCACCACGGCGTTTTCGGGCACCAGGCTCAGGCCCTCCTGGAACAGCACGGGGCTCACGAGGTTGTTGACATGGTATTCAGCCGAGCTGTGCAGAGCCAAAGCAGAGTCCCACTCAGACTGAGGGATGCTGGTGCTCACCCAGCGCGCCGAACGCTTCTTTGGCTCTTTGATCACCTGCAGTGACAGGATGGCAGCTCATTAATATTCAGCACAGCAGTCTGCACCAGGTTTCCTGTGACAGTGTTGGCGCCTGGCACGCTGATGTGTGAGCCCTGCTTCTACTGACAGGACCGAGCATGGATGGGACGTGCGGCGCTACATACCTTCTTCAGAGCTGCGAGCAGGGCTGGAGCGATGGAGGCCATGTAGTAGGAGTGAAACGCCACCCCGGCACTGCGCACTTCCTTTGCAAACACTCCTTGTTGTTTGAGCTCGGACACAAAGGCACTGACTGCTTCCTAAAAATCAAACGTGGCACATGTTCAAACATCTGGGACCACAGCTGTACAGCAGGACACAGCTCCCATAGTTTAAAACACACTGAGCTGTCACTCATCTGGACTGATGGAACAATGAGTTCACTGTGTTTGGCTATAAATAAGTGAGAGCGTCATGGCGATCACGTGTGTCATATGATACATGAAGCTCAGGTAAAACAGAGACGTGCTGTATGTAAGCACCTTGATTTGGTGCCATAACTCAAACTGAACCAACCAGCAGAAAAAGAAATTTAAGCTGCTAGAAGAACCAGGAAAGTGACCTGAGGGCCGGAGATGGTGACCGTGTCCTCAGCGTTGTGGCAGGCTGGAACCACCCCCTGAGGACACTGAGCGATGCACTCCTCCCAGGTCAGCCCTGCAACACACAGGAAGCACAAAGCTCAAACATGGCGTCCGACCCTGCAGAATCAGAGCCCTGAACACAACACTGAGTCCCATCTGTTAAAAGAAGACGCGCTCTCACCCACTGCAGCCATGCCTCCTGGAGGAAGGCTGGCCTCCTTGATGCAGCGGCCTCTCCAGTACGCAGCCAGGAGGGCCTCGCTGTGACTCAGGGAGCGGTCAGCATAGCCACAGGCTAGCTCTCCCACCGAGTGCCCCACGATGCCATCGGGCTGCAGACCCAGCTTGGTGAGCAGATCGATCTGAGCGATCTGTAAGGAGAAAAAACACGACGATTGCTCTGGCAGTCTGAGTCATCGTCCACCTGTGAACTCAGCAGCCATAGAAGGCCACTGCATGTTTATGCTCCTCCTCCTCGTGCCCACAGATCGCTGCAGGCTCTTTCTGGTGCTCTCCGGTCTAATGTGGCTCGACTGTGCAATGCATTCACAAGATTTTCACAACGCTTGACCTCTGACCCCTGATGTTGAGGTCGGGGTCACTGAGATCCAAACTCCTCTGACATTTTCAGTAGGTAGATCTAAGGTATCGATTTGAAGCTCCTCTCAACCTTTTCCAGCTGAGAGGTAAAAAACACCCAATAACTCTTCCTCACTGTGAGCTCAGACTAAACACTCGTTTCCACAGAGTGAGACGTTTCCACGCAGGTGTTAGTTAAAGCAGGGGCACAGTGATTGGTCGGGTCATAAATAAATGTTTGTGCTGACGTCTTCTATAAACTCTGAGTGGTACACATGGATCTGTGCTCGACTCGAAGCTTTGAAAACAAACGAGTGTTGAAATGCTTCCCTTTTCTCTCTGTGAGGCAGCATCGCTGTACCTGTACTGCAGCCAGGCCAACGAAGGCGTGAACGGTGTCTTCGAACGTGTCCTCCTGAGCCTCCATGAGCAGACGAGACACCACCAGCCCCGTCTCCTTCAGCGCCGCATCGGACCGCAGAATGGAGTCTCTGAAGTCTGGCAGCTGCATGAGACTGCGGCCCATCCCGGCCCACTGCGTCCCCATACCTGCATTACAGACAGCGTGTAGCAACACGTTGGTATATGAGGTGTGTGCGTGCAGCTCTGCATCGCAGCTGTGTTCAAACCCTTTTAAATAAACTGGAAACAAACTTTCATGTTGCCCAGCTGATGGTTGCTTAGTAACAGCGTGCTCTCAGCGACTCAACGTCACTCCTGTTACGTCCTCGTTCCTCCATCGATCTCATCGTTCACCCCAAATCTGTCCAAACATCTTTGTATCATGTGAAGCGTCTCATACTTCTGACTGCGTGCAGCGACTCACCTGAACAAACGTACCACAGAGGCCTGGCGGCGCCCGGCACCTGCTGCACTTCCATGACGTCGCTCTGAGAGCCAATCAGAGCAAAACCTCTGTAGGGCATGCTGGCGGCGGGCGCTCCTGACACTTCGTTCAGCAGAGACAGGAAGGCGTTGTCCGCAGCGTGTTCCTTCCCCTTCTGCAGGACGGAGCTCACCGTCGTCTCTGTGCGCCCGCAGGCCTGAAGCATTCTGGGAAGCTTCCCGGGTGAAGCCGAGGCGGCCGTTTTCTCAGCCGGACGAAGGATGACGTGAACGTTGGAACCTCCGAATCCAAAGGAGTTGATCCCTACGATGCCTCCTCGGACGGGAACAGGCCGATCGACGACGCGAACCCGACCGTCGGTGAGGGCGGGGATGTCAGGGTTAGGATGGAGGAAGTGCAGGTTGGGGGCCCAGACTCCTCGCTCCAGAGAGAGCAGCACCTGCACGTCGCATCAAACACATGAGCAGCGGTTTAAAGCAAATAATGACTCATGATTCCAGTTTAACCCTTTAAGACCTACCATAGAACCAAGTCCGCCAGAGCTTATATTATATTTTACATGCTGTAGTGCCAATTTTGGGAGCATTTCAAGTTGCTATACATCAATACAACTGTTATAGCCCATATTTTAATAATATGTCTGCATTAAGTCCATAGTAACTACATTAATTGCAAAAAAGTGCAATAAACTACAAAAAAAAAAAATTGAAAATCGTTTTTGTTACATATATTTCTACTTGGAGAAATTTAAGAGGTTTATCCCTCAAAACTTTAAATACAAAAAAGTTGCAAAAAATATTTTACAACACAGGAAATTTATTTTGAGTGTCTTCATAGTTTTATTTTTGAGATACACCAATTTTTATATACTGCAGGAAAAACTAAAATAAATATTATATGCAAATTTGCAAAAAAACAGCATGCATCAAAATAAACTATTTCCAACAGTGTAATTTGAGTTCTAAGCATCCCAGAAACTATTCAGAAAAGCATAAAGTCAAACATGACTTATAAAAACACCAGTATAGGCTTTTAAGGCCTACAAGTAAAAAAACTACATTTCCGCGAAAATGACGTCACTTCCGGTTTCGGGCAGGAAATGGCGGACATGCGATAGTTCGCGCTGATGTGACGTAGGAAGTGTTACAAACAGCTGATCGGATCGGCAAAGCGTGTTTCTGGAATATTATGTTTTTGTTGCTGCAAGTGCTTTTTATGCAGTTTTTGCAAAGCTATATGTGGAAGGAAACTGTGACCTAGGACAAGCTGATGGCATAAGATGTAAGTACAACTCCTCCAGTTTCATATGCAAAAAAAATGATTGCGCTAGCTTACGTGGTTGCAGAGCTACCGGGATTTAAAAATAGTTACGCAAAACAGAGCGTGCCCGCTCCGATCCGGCTTCAAAGGGTTAACACAGAGCTCATCATAAAAGAGGCCACAGCTCCAGATTTCTACTAAGCAGCACTTCAGAATATTTGGAAGCATTTTTATTTCTCTGAGACGCCACTAAAGGAAGAGTGGAGGAGGTGTGTTTGGGTGGGTGTGGCTCCACCCGGCGATGACTGCATACAGGACACAGTGTGTTCGTGATCTGTGTGTATTGTCTGTCAGCTGATTGGATGTTTCCATCGTCACACGGTCTCAGTGAGAACATTAGAAGACGACTGTCTCTCGTCAGAGGCTCAAACCTCTGAGGACTCGTTCTCTGCTTTCAGGCCAGCTAAAGTCTGTCACGCTCAGTCTGCCCTGGTTCAACACTTTGGGTTCACTGTTGTATTATTCATGTGTTACTGCAGGACAAACGTGTCTTTATGCCTGTTTGTGTTTCTTCTCTCGCTTTGCCACCAGCTGTGTGTTTGTGTCCAATCTAAACGAGTCTTCAGCAGCACCAGACCTCCAGCAGGACCACCAGTCCATCCAGTCAGTACTGCAGAAGGATCTGGTCATGAACGTGTTCAGGGATGGACGCTGGGGCACCTTCAGACACCAGCTCATCACTCATGGTTCGACTCACACTCATACGGCGTATTTAAGGAGGCGAATGAGCTGCAGATGGTCACGTTTCAGGATCCACTCATGTTTGGTCCAGGTCACTTTACATGTCTCGGCCTGCGCTCTAAACGTGTGGAGGACGCACTTCCTATGAATGACATCACAAACATAAAGAATAATAATGACTTTGTTATTTACACTTCTATTTCAAGACGCTGCAACACTCTGAGAGTTGAGATTCAGCTGCACTTTTACAAAAATGAACCCGTAAAATCTGCAAAACTGTAATTTTACATGGAAAAAAAACAGTCGTCAGAATGACTTTTAATTGTAGAGCTGTGCTCTCTCACAAAGCTCTGTAAGGCGCACCTGCTGCAGGTGTTTGAACCCAGCAGTGAGTTAGACAGTACTGCCTCCTTCCCTCTTGGTTCCCTCTTGGTTCCCGCGCTCACTGAGGCTTGTCTGCTTGCTGTTTCAGATGTAAATGAAGCGCCGACCGAGGCCGCTTACGTCAACGTGCTGACACGCGGTGACCTGTCGTCTCTGCGCTGGATCGCGTCCCCGCTTCGCCACTTTGTGAGCAGCAGCCCTGCTGTGCAGCTGTGCCACGTCTACTACAGCTCGCTCAACTTCAAAGACATCATGCTGGCTACTGGCAAGCTGCCGCCTGACGCCATCCTAGATAGTGTGTCTGTACACACCAAGTAATGCCACACTCTGCTGGGTCGTAGTGTGTGATGCTGTTGTTGAACATTCACAGTCACATGACAAACCTTTTCCATTT